TAACGGGAAAAGTAATGCATTCATAAATCAATGAATCAATACAAAGTCAAAATGTCATATCACGGATCATCCTAGAGCATCACAACCAACAACATGGTCACATGATTCAGAATGTGTCATAATCACGTGGTCACATGGTCACATGATTCAGAATGTCCGGAAAGCATATGTTGGAAGAAGAGTCGCGATGCAGAGATGCATTGCAGAAAGTCATTGGAGATGACTTTGAAGGGTAAGCGCAAAGTACTGATAGACGATGATTCAGAGGAAGTAGATGAGAAAGAAGATGTCGAAGAAGAAGTACAAGAACGAGAGCAGCAGCAACGGCAACAACAACAACAACAGAGGGCTTTTCGTCAAGGAGTAACGGGGCTAGCTGTCATATATTGAAGCACTGAAGGAATATATACAGCTGAAAATAAAAGCGTCTGAGAGTCGAATCATCGATTCTGTTGGGGATATAGTTCGACGGATTTTCAAGGACGTTGGGCTCCTTCTTGATCCAGTTACGAAGAATCCAACAGAGCCCGTAATTTTGAGGACAAGTCCCCGCCACACAGAGGGGTTGACGACAAGTCTGATAGATCTGGGCAATGTGAGGATGAGCCCAACCTTCAAAGAACCAGAGTATGAAGAAGCAAAACCGGCAAGTCCGATAGATTCTGTTGGGACTGATGATTATTATGATAAGGCAGAGGAAGAAAACTTTATATTGCAGTCTCGAGATGAGACTCCTATGGCTATCTCGCCCAAGAATGCACATAAAGGAGAAGGGTGTTCGGGACTTAACACAATTGTGGCTACTATTACTGCACAAGTAGGAAGTAAGTACTGGAATAAAGTTTCGGTCACAATGTAATTAGATCACATGGTCACAGAATTTAATTTGATTGTATTCACTATTTTTGTTTAGGTGATGGTGATAAGGATGAAGGTCACGATTCTCAAGGTCACGATGATAATGATGATGGTGATAATTCTGAAGGTGATGATGGCAATGATGAGGATGATGGAGATGAAGAAGATGATGATGGGGATGATGATGGCGATGATGAAGAAAATGATGATGGGATGATGATGGGGATGATGAAGAAGATGATGATAAAAATGATGATCAAGATGATGATAAAGATGATGATCAAGATTATGCGTCGGATGATGATAAAGCGAATGAGGATGATGTAATGTCTGAAAAACCTAACGAAGAGATAGTGACGCAACATGAAGCAGAAGTTATCCCCCCAACACCATTGAAAAGGAGTAAAAGGAAAGTTGCTGATGGTCCGACCAAGAGAAGTCCCTATATCGATCCAGTATCAAGTGGCCCCCTGCAAAAAGAACCTGATCTCATGCATACCGGGGCAGAGGAAAAGGTATGGGCAAAGGAAAAGGTAGAGTCACCATTAATACGAGCCAGAAGGAAGTTGAAGTTGCTGAGGTCGCTCAGGATTCAACCGAGAAAGAGGTTGTTGGTGAAAAGGAGTATGTGTGGAATCCTGAGCGCATTCACAGTAGTGGTAAGTTCCTTATCCGAAATCAATCTTTTGTTGAATGCGATGGACCAAGGGCTACATCTCTATGGGAATTTATGAAGAAGCCAGAAGAAAAAAGATTGTGGAAGTCAGGGTTGAATGTTGAGCAGGAACCAAGTTTTTGGGAGACGCTTTTGGAAGTCGGACTATGGCTCACAGATACTGTAAGTGTACTCGGTCACACAATCACAATCACACAGTCACACAATCACAGAGTCACGTGGTCTCACAATCACGATCCCACTGTCATAAGGTCACATGGTCACAGAATCTCAAGATTTAATGTTGATTGTATTTACTGACATGTATTGTTTTATTCTGTAGCACATGGATGAGGCGATGTACGAACTCCGAACCCGCGTTATAAAGAATCTCGTGACCTTCATTGGATGCAATTCCTTGGTGTGTGACACCATGTTTGTTGAGTTAATCAATACATGGGCCAAATCGGGAGATATGACAACTGTGGGTGATCTACACCCATACTTCAACGGAAGGCTTCCAATTGGCTGTGCAGGGACGCCGTTGATCAGCTACGAGGGATACATGAGTGTGCTTAATGTTCTCGGATTTGGCAATGATGAAATCAGCTGCAATTGGATTGCCATTAAAGTGGATTTCAGTGAGAAAACTCTGGAAATCTACGATTGTCAAGCCAGACTGCAGGAAAAGGCAAAAGAGGCAGTTCAAAAACTCTGCCATGTCGTTCCGAAGTTGTGTTGCCTCGCTGGGTCGGAAGCTTTCGCTGATGGAGATGTATTGGACATTGAATATGTGCAGGACGTACCCCAAAACAATGGGGAAGAATGCGGGGTTTTCGCAGTGAAGTACATCGAAGTCATTTGCCTTGCCAAAGAGCGGATGCTATTACCGTTGATATGCAATGACAATGTCACGCTAATCCGTGAACAACTAGCAGCAGCAATATTCGCTAATGGCAAGCCTCAAAGGTTTAGGAAGAAGAGAGAGTGAACGATTTCTAAACCCTTCTTACGTTTTATGTTGTTTTGAACACTTTTTAAGACTACTTTTGTTTGTTTGACATTATCTTTTTTATTAGTATTTATGTTTGTTTGGATTAAGTTGGGAAAAAATCTCGGATTCTTAATGTTTGTATAGAAAATTATGGGGTTAAAATTTGAGAGAAAAAAAAATATAGGGTTAAAATTTGGGAGGGAAAAATTTTAGGGTTAAAATTTGGGAGAGAAAATAAACTGGGACCCACAAAACACAAAAAAACTGGCGAATTCTGACTATTTCTCGTATGGGTCCCACAACATATTTCGGTCACAATGGGTCACAGTCGGTCACAACCGGTCACAACCTTCGATACATGCGATTTTTGTCAATTTAATCAGTTTACAATGTCACGCATCCCTCATAAGCCTATTTTATATTGTTTTGAACAATAAAATATGAGTTTGGTGATTTTTTGGTTTCAAAGTTGGTATTCCATATGTGTTCCTATATGTTTCATATTGTTTTATGAGTGATTTTGGTAAAATTGAGATAATCCTTCTACAAACTCATTTAAATAAATTTAAAATTTGCCTCTAACACTATATATTTGATATATACACTCTGATAAACCATCCCAAGCTTTAAAATTCAAGTTTGGTTTATATTTATCAACACATTTCGGTCACGGGTCACA